AATGCTCCCATCCCCTACTTTGAAGTAGCCCTTACTAATGTTAGTGAGGAAAGGAGCACCACTTTTGACTGGAACATTTTTTGCTAGATTGGTGGCCTATGTGAGTGCTTCCTCACAGAGGAGTGACGAGGAGGCTACAAGTCTCCCATCATGTGACCTCATCAATTGCCATCAATGATGTGTCCTGTGGGGTTATGGAGCTCTGAAGGAACTGTCCTGCAGGCCCTCTGTTTGTCTTTAACCAGCAGCATTCTCAGCAGCTGCATCAGCAACATTGCTACCCATAAATAGTTCTAAAGTGCCAGACTGATATGCAAGCCTCCAGTTTTGCCAATGCTCTTTTAGGAGCATCTGAGGTAAAATCAGTTCCTATCCAATGTTTCAGATCAACGTAAAGCGTTTTTACAGCGTAAGTAGAATCAGTGTATATGTTTAGTTTTTTTTCTCTTCACATAGTTTGCAAGCACAGGATTGCACAGATTTCAGAAAGCTATGCAGATGTGAAGGGTGAGACGATCTTAGCCTCCAGGGTTTGCCACGTATAGTCCACTGTGGCGCTAGATTTGGCAGAGGAAGAAACAACAGCATAAGATGCAACAACATCTCCTCCTGGAATGAAGTGGCTGTGATGTCCATAAAAATATCCAGTGCACCTTGATTTTAGAGGTGAACTGCTTTTTCTAAAGGTGGTGAATGATGTTTGGTAATAACAAGTCACCTGGTGTGGGGTGACCACAAGGATGACCAATGATCAGGGACAGCAGTCTTAGCAGAGAGAGCAGATTTCCTCTCCCCAGAAGCGTCCTCCAGCCCTCCACCAGCAGACAGTCTCTCTTTCTAGGATTTCTCTTTTTCCAGCAGCTACCTTATTACAATGTCATCACTACTTATTGTGACAGATTAAGAGATAAAAGTCGAAGTTGCCACGGTGGGCTGACATGGGGGGTTTATAGTTGATGACGTGCAGCCAGTAGGTTGCACATGTTCAGAGAGCATTTATGCTCCATTTGCCACCATAAAAAGAACAGAGATACAGTACCAGCTCAGACAATGTAGTTTTTATACATATCTTGACATACAGAGGAGGTTGATTCATGCGGTCAAAAGAAAATTTCTCCCCCAGACTCACCCCACACTGTGCTGCAGGCCGAACAAACACAAACCCTAAATGCAGGTGAACACGCACACATATGCACCACTACCACAGTGCCACCCCCAATCAATGTGGAGTTGAGGCGTGTGCACAAAACATGTGCACAAAACGCCCACCCATTTACAACATACACACAATTCATTCATGAAAAGGAGAAAACACAAAAACCATATCTGGCTCCAACATTACTGCTAAATGCAACTTGCGCACTAACACTGGAACACTTTTATCTGGTCCACAGTCTGACACACTGTCTTTTTGTATGTCTGATAAATACTGAAAAAGCAGCAAAGAGTTATTCAGACATTTTATATCAGAACAAATGTCATTATTGCAATAAGTAAAACCCTTCAGTGTTTATTCTCTCTTGTTCTGAAATTTCTTTGAGATCTTTCGATTTAGAGTGACTCACCTGATCTGTTTTTTAATTTAAAGGGTAAGACGAAGGAGCTGATGGGTTTAAAACATGGAGCAAATGCCAGTAGTGTCACACAGTGTTCTTTGCAGATGAAAACCACCTGCTAAGACTCTGTTCAGAGCGCCAGGTATCATTACAGCCTCTTCACAGGGGGCAAAAACACATGTGACTCAGTGGTTACATGTTTAATATATCTAATCTGATTATATGTGTAATGAAATAAAAAAATGTAACATTTTACAATCAGTTATGTTGAAGACGATAAGATGTGTTTTGTTCTCTTTACAAATCTGCATTCTGTGTTATACAAAGAAGTTCACTGGAGGTATCTTATAATAACAGACTGCAACAGTAAGAAATTTTTAATCTACACAGTTTTCCTCTGCAGTATCTTGTCTTGCTGCCAGATAACATCAAAAAGGAAAAGGTCAGCTTGCTTTCAGCAGCAGCATTGCACAAAAGCTGGCTTCTTTTGATTCCCACAACCAGGACTAAAACAAAAAAATATATATATAGCTAAAGAAGTTCACCTTCACCTGAGGCTTATTCTTACATTCAACAAAGATCATTTGTTTCTTGTGTTGTTTAAGGTATTAGTCACATCGATTGTTGGGTGTGGTGTTGAGAAAACAGTGTTTCAGTAAACTTTTTTATTTAATGGACACACAGACAAAATAGGTTTGATGTTCCTTTTCTATGATCAGTGTCTACTGGTCAAAATTACTTTTATTATTTTATTGAGAATAGGAAGAACTGAAATATGTTTTTTTTCCTATATTCTTAGCACCATGGATGACATTATTTGAAGTGCTGCCAGGAAAGAAAAAGAATCCTAAAACCCTGAAACCAAAAAATAAAAAATAATCTGAGGGATCAAACATAGAGGGAAATAGACAGAGAAAAATGCTGGATGCCTTCCTTCATCTGCTTGGATCTGCTCGTCAGCTAGTTGAGCAGTCTTCAGGCTACAGCTCCTGGAACTCTCTGGGCTGTTGTTAGCCATCCGGCTGGATTCTACTCCTACATCTGCTCACAGACAGAACTCTAAAACCTTGTCCTTCAGATTTACGTGGTCACTAACCTGAGTTTTCCGTCTACAGAGATTCCAGCCCTTGATGCCCTTGCTGGTGAGTTGCAGATCCAACGTACGTTAATAAATGCTTTTGTGAATCACACTTATCTGTCTGCTTTGAATTCTGGGTCCTCAGTTTTGAGCCCTGACAGTGATAGTAGTTTATACCATGAGAAATTCAATTCAACTTAAAAATTAGAGTTAGACTCTCTATGTCTAAGTCTAATTCTAATTTAGCTAAATATTAAAGAATATTTTAAGAATCCCAATGGGAAAGTAAATGTGGCAGTAACCTTATATGTTAGTTTTTAAACAGGTAATGTAGGTGTCGATCGCTGTCTATACTATAGACAGACTATACTATAGACTATAGACTCTATAGTCTATAGTCGGGCAGGAGGTCTTCCACATCATTGGAACTGCCTCCTGGGTCAGACTACGGATGAAGAGGTTCTGTAGAATCCCACAGAGTGGCTCTGCACAGGCCTTAAGAACACTGGGGCTGCACTGTTGGTGACTTAGTATGATTCATTCTCTCCAGTTGCCTTTTTACTTGACTTCTAGAGATAGACAGGTTAAAGGTGGAGGGACCATGTTCTGCTTTGGCTGAGAAAAAGTTCATAGAAGCAGGAGAGTCCTTGGCAGAGAAGGGCAGGATGCCCATGTGACTTTGGGCAAGGGAGAAGGATGCTGAGTTTGTTTCTGAACTGAATCTGTTGAAGAATGGATTCATTTAATTTGCTCTGTCCAGACTCCCATTTCACCGATCATCCTTCAGCTTGAAGCCTGCGATCTTCTTCATCCCTACCCACACATCTCTAATATTGTTCTGCTGGAAATTGTTATCCAGCCTCTTCCTGTATGGCTCCTTGCTTTCTCTTATCCTTACCTTAAGTTGCTTCTGTATACTCCTTATCAATTTCCTGCTTCCCTTCTTAAAGGTTTAATTTTTCTTGTTGAGCAATTGCTTCAAATCACCTGTGATTCATGATTTTTATTTGGCGGGCATTTAACTGTTCTGGTAGGGATGGAGATATCTATACATAAGTGAATGTAGTAAGTCACACACTCAGTCAAGCATGTTAGCTGAAAATTTAAAAGGGACAAAGATCAATCCCTGAGATAAACCAAAACTTAACTAATTGGTATCTACGCCTAAAATGACTGGGCATAATGAACCCAACAAATTCAACCAATTCTGCGACAGTGGAGACAAATAACAAAGATGGCACATGAACCGTGAGGAAAGGCGGAGTTACGTGACCAAGAGGGAGTGAAAAGTAGTGATCATCTGTCCAAATGGTCAGTAAACTGAGTTCCTTATAAAGTCCACTATACAGTTCTTGCTCTATACAGTGATTGAGGGTTTAGTGGGACATTTGGACAGAGCCACACTGTACACATTTTCCATAACATATCTCACTCTGCTTTGTCCCACCCTTATCTTTTCTGTTTCCATTTATCAGAGATGAAAAAGTCAAGCTCATGGAAGGCCTTTCCTATAATCTTTATCAGAAAAGATGTGAAAAGACTGCAAATCTTATGCTTAAAATTAAGTTTTGCTTTTTTTAAACTTTAAACTGAACCATTCATCACTCTGTTAAGAACATTCTATACCACAGAGGCATCAATATCTTGAGCTCTGACTCTGGATGGGTATGGACCAAAAGACCGTCATAGTTTAGACAGATGAGATAAACAAAAAAATGTTTGTTCATAATGCACAGCTGTCCTTCAACCTCTTTGCCGTAAGCAAAATCTGAAATCTGAGGAAGTGCGAAGACCTTGCCAAGAGAACTAGACGTGTGAATGAATATCAAAAGCTTAGAAGGTATGAATCATGAGTGGATGTTTGTTTTTTTTGAAGGCAGATATAAATGCTCATCAGGGGCCTTGTCACTTTAATTAATCAGCACACATTTAACAATCCTCTCACTAATTATCAGCAGATGTGCTGGGATTTGTTTATTTTCTAGGCTATGTCAAAGTTCTGTATTGTTTTTTTAGAAAGCAATTAAGATTTCAAAATGTTTGCAACCAATGCAATAGTTTCAAGGTTGCAGTTTTACAAGGAATTATGGGAGAGGTTTAAACTGTCGTCAGATTTTCCCCGTTGGACTGCAATATACCGCAATGCGTTCCAAAGCTATAACACCAATTCAGCGGCACCAGTCTGTGCCACTAATTTCAGTGCTACTTTCTTATTAGGATTTATTAGCATTCAAATACAGTCTGAAATTAGGTCAAAAATGTTGTTTAAACAAATTATTAGTAAAATATTTGAAAAAAGTAACATAGTAATAATAATATCTCATTAAACTTTTATCTTCACCAAGCATTTAACTTTAATCGTTTCACAAACATTTACAGGTTATATTGTTAAACCACCACATACATTTTGAAAATTAAAACTTATTGTCTTTGTCAGGAGTTAACGCAAACATAATGCAAAACAAAGTGCTGCAGGTTTACTCGCATTGAAATGACATGTTGAGTATTTCATTTTTGATTACACTTATACACTTATATTTTGCTGGAGGAGAAATAAAGCAGCTTACGTTTATTTATCAATCTTAAATAGAATTGGCTTCTATAAAGATGCCTGCTATATGTAAAGACGCAAGGACACAAAACTTTCTTTTTTCTTTGTGAGTGAAGTGAAAGAATAACAAAGGACAGCTCTACCCTGTGGAATAGAAAACCTTTACCTTTCCTCCCCCCCATTTATTGCTGTAGTGTGGACATAGCTGTCAGGTTCTATGCATCTTGTGCTTCACTTTACAGAAAACTCAAGAACAAATTGTGCAAAGCGAAAGAAGCAGATGGTTTAAGACGTCAGATACAGTGAATCAGACAAAGATTTGTCTCATCACTTACTTACCAAACACTGACAAAACAATTTTGGTTGTCAAATAAAAAGATTTATTTGTGACCGCAAACATACCATATCAACATATCATGGAGATTATGATTAAATGTGACTTTTGAAAATATCTGGATAATGATTTAAAAGCACAGTGTCATCATCTGCCTCTGAGATGATTCATTGTTTCATCTCTGATTCGTCTTTTGTGGGTTTTTCCCACACAAACGTCAGAGTGCTGTTCTGCATCTTGGACTTGAACACACTGTCAAAGTATTGATTTTGCTCCTCTGTGAGCATGTTTTTCCAGTCTCCGATCTCACCTGGATGATAGAAAAATAAGAAAGTATGACGTTAAGACTTGGAAAAAAAAAATAAGAATAAAAAAATGGGGGACCTTTGAATGAATAACAATAGGTTTCTAGAAATATAATGCTCAAAAAAGTCTCTGTAATTTTGTTTGACCAGAAAGATGATCTGATCTGTTATTAAAGCATTACTTCATAAGCTCCTTCAGCAATCTAGGACATTTGCTAAGTATGAGAAGTTAAAGCAGTTTTTTTTTTATGATTTATCTTTGAATAGGAAATCGAATCAAAACCATGTGACACTAGATTTATTTTAGCTTGGATCCCATACTGTGAGATAAGTTAGACTGATCAACGCTCACCTTTTCTCATAAAGCAACCTTTGCTGTGATCCAGTATCTCATCAGGAATAAGGGTGTAGTTAATCATCTTGTTGTCCTTCATGCAGCCAAAGCTGCAGTGTCTCACACAATCATTGAGCTCTTCCTCCAGCAGGGGGCACTGCAGAAAAGAGCTCAACCTCTTAATGGTCCCTTGCAGGTCCTGCAAAGAGTGCAAAGGAGTAAAAATGCATAAACAAAATGAACAAATAAATGACTGAATCAATCAGTTCGCTCAACCTTTTATCAAAGGATTTTGAAATATGTCTTTAAAGAAACAGGGACACACTTTCGGTAGTATTTTGTTGTTTTTAGAATCTTTTTTTGTAGTGACAATATGTTCCTTAATATGTGTTGGAAAGCTGATTTAGTTGCAGACATTAAAGTGTTGAATTTATGCAACCCCAGCATTAACAAAGCTATGCTTTACCAAAGACATCTCTTCATAGGTGATATGAAGCAGATTGAGAGCTGCAGCCTGACTGGTCCAGCCCTCAATATGGTCAAACCAGGAGCCAAAGTGCACTGAACAAAATAAGAAGTTAAAGAATTACAGTTTGAGCAACATAGGAAAAAATAAAAATATCACAGCAGTCCAAAAATACTAACTCACATGCCCCATCCAGGAACTGATTTAAAAACTCTGGAAAGGAACCAACATCAGGGAGGAAGTTAGCCATCTTGTGGAAGTGATAAAAGGATACCAGAACATCTTTAGGGTTTCTGCTCACATAAATTATCTGTAGGAATCCAGACAGTAAAATTACCATAATGTTAAAGGTACTCATGCAAAGAACAAATACCAATACTGTGAAGGTAGACAGCATGACTTGTGTACAGAGCCAACAGTGCCAGATCATCATAAACAAACTGTAACTACAGATCCAGCAAAGAGAGTTTTTTTTAGAGTTATTAGGTGTTTCTGATTTCCTGATCATGACCGTTTGCCTGAACTTTCTTTGGACTCCTGGACCTCTGAGCCTGCCTGTTCCTGTTCTGATCTGTTTGCCTGACCTGGCATCGGACTCTTGGGTCTCTGAGCCTTCCTGTTCTGATCTGTTTAACTCCTGGATGTTCTGCGGGGCTGCAGCGTTTGGGAATTTCTGGGCGGCGCCCACTGCATCTTGTTGGCAGCCCACCATCTGGATCCTACCTCGTTTTCTGACTATGGACCGAACTTGTATCCCGACCTTGAATACTGGGTCCTCTGTTCTGAGTCTTGACAGTCCCATTAAAGAAAATTATAACAATAACATTATACAATGGAGTTTATTCCCTCCCACTATCATTACATCATTACACCCCCCCCCCCCCTTTACAGGGGAACAGAACACCTTGCCTTTTCAGCCAAGCCAACAATTCCCTTTAATGACTACCCTTCAGAGACATAGACAACAGGTATCGGGTATTGCAGCCAAACAAGCCCCATTCCAAAGTGGCAAACCCTTTCATCCGGTTCAATTTGCATGTTTTCTAAGCCAAAACAAAGCTTGTTTTGGTCCACTCCACAAATTAAAGTGCCAACATACCTGTCAACAGGTGCAAAAGTGTATGTAAACTTTCAAGCCCAACTGTATGCTTACTCAATGCATAATTATTCAGCATTCGATTAGTAAGGCTTCATCCTTTGTGAAAACTACCCAAAGTGCTACTTCCAAGAATCATCAAATTTGTGTTTCCCCTTTTTTAGTTTAGTGTTTTCTAGTGATATCATTAAACAGAATAATTGCTTGTAACAAATAATTACTCGTTTGATAAACTTTAGTATGCAAGGTGTGGTTGTTTATAGTTAATTATCCCTTTTCAGGCTAACATCTTAAACAGAGACATCTCTTATGGTTTTAGCTGTGAATCAAACTGCATTAACTTTTTATTAGTAAATGCCAATTTCAATTATAAATGTAATTTATATTTACCAGAGTTTAATTCAAACTTAGCTTTGCAACTGACTTAAATGTATTTATATTCTGATAAATTAATTTAATTATAAATGAATATCTGGATTATTAGGGGGTTGTATTAATTAAAATTAATTTAATCTGAATTAAAATTATCTAACACATCTTTTTGTTATGAATTAACTTAATCTGAATAATGCATTAATAATTATGATATCCTATAATAATAATCAGTAATATTCATTATTTAAATAAGTATAATAGCTATATCATATGTTCAATTTAAAAACTAAGCGAGATAAAACAGTTGATGTTTCTCGGGCAACTTTAGTTTTTAATCCTGGGAAATTATCATATTCACCTCATTTATTTCCATCCTTCTTTTTCAACAGTGAAATCTTTTGTTTCATTACTGGAAAAATTTAAAATGTTAAGTCTGTATTTCTGCTAATCATGATATTTTTAGCTTTTAACTACTAAAAGCAATAATTTATAGAAAATTACATAAGACTTATATTTTAGTTAACAAATTATGGCTAAATAAAATTGACTGTCACTGGCAAAGATACAAGCCTAATTGGAAGGAAAATTACAATTTATTGAATATGATTATTTATACATCCTCACTAATGTTTGGTTAAGGAAAGGCTGAACTTTTTGGCCAAACAGAGAAGAGGTTAGGCTTTCAATCTTTGGAAGACTAGCAGTTTTTATCCATGGCGTCAGTGTCTTAATGGTGGGAGATTGCCTTAATGTAATTGTTTGATAATACTTTGAAAAAAGCGGGTGTACCAATAGAGAAGATGGCATGGCTCCTATTTTTTAACTTCATCCCAAATTAGCAGAGAGACAGAGGAAACCTTACAACAGATGGGCATTCAAGTGGGACAAATGACACAAGCATACATCAAAAGTGTTTTTTTTATTTGACAAGATATGCTAGTAGTAGCTGCAGGAGTCAACTTCAGCTTTCACTGACTAGACATTTGTGACCTAAGCCTACCAGCTCATTTTCATACTTGTTTTCTGCTGATCCCATAATGGGTTATGGGGGTTATGGTCTTAGCAGAGACTCCCAGACTTGCCTCTCTTCATACAGCTCCTTCAGCTCTGCTGGTGGAAGCTTGAGGTGTTCAGAGGACAGATGAGAGACAAGTCCCTCTGTGTCGTGAGCTGTCTCTTAGGCGTCCTCCCGGTGGGACATGCCTAGAGCACCTCCTAAGGAAGGCCTTCAGAGGGCATCCAAAAAAAATGTCCGAGCCTCCACTACAGACTCCTATTCCCTGAAAGAGAGGTAGCTGTACTACGATTCATTCCCCTATGACCAAGCTCCTCACCCTATCTCTAAGCTAGTGCCCAGCCACCCTGCAGAGAAAGCTCATTTTAGCCGCTCGTATCCAGAATCCAGAAACACATCTTTTGTCTAATCTCCCTCTTCAGCACAATAGACAGCTACAGCGCCTGCATTATAGTGGAAGGGGCACTGAAGGTGCATAAATTAGGCCATATACCATTTACCAATTTTCCCCTTGTATCTCAGATGGCTGTCCTACTAAAACATAGATAAATGTTATCATAGATATTAGCCTGACCTTGGCCTTAGAGTCCTGCAGGGTGGGGCCCAGCAGGTGATAGGGCAGGTGTGTGGTGAGGACTCGAGGTGCTGCGGTTGAGGTCTTCAACAAATCTGCACAGTAATAATGCTCCAGCCAGGGGGCTCTGGTCCAGTTAGGAATGGTCTGGGACAGATGTGGGTCCCCTCTACTGAATATGAGGGTCAACATTTCTTGCATCCATGTCGTTCCTGTTTAGAGAAATTAATGAGAAATGTAGCCTGAGTTTTTACTGATCAGTATAATAAAAAAAAAAAACCATGATATTTGACTATGGTTTTGCAAGGTTGTTTGGTATAAGTACCTACGGTGAATAGTTTTTATAAAACTTTGAGGTTCACAGTCTACAAAATAACAATCAAAAACACTAGTTAAATGTTGGAAACTACTTGTATGTTGGATTACATTATAATTACACTATGTATTTAGAGATAAAACCCATGTCTGGATTAAGAGGAAAACATGTTATTGATTTTTTTTTCGTTTCCTTTGCGGAATATACAGAAATATTTTTCTATGTGTTTCAGTTATAACAGAGGACAAAAGTTTTGAGGATAAGCTACAAAACGTGCGCATAGTTTTCACCACAGTTGGTAAGTCCCCTTTATTCCAGATTAGCACCTCCTTAGACATCCACAACTTGTTTGATTGAGATTTTAACACAATCTAATAAATGGTTATTCTTATTGCTGTGCTTGGACGGTGACATGTCCAACATATTAATATACCTCTACTTAAAAAAATACATAGACCAACTTACAGAAGTCTGGTTGATATTCCAAATGTTTAAGAATATCATGAATAATAGTAAAAATTTCTGTAGATTCAGAAGACCTGGCTAAGATCAACTATGCTACTCATTGAACATTTATCATCTTTACAATTCAATTATTTTATTTTAAAAAATGTTTCAATTGTCAAACTCATTGCAAAACCTAGAAAGCTCATATCATAACTTTGCGATAATAAGCCTCTTGTGAAGAGCGCTGTACCTTGACAATTAAAAAAAAGTTCCCTTACCTGATTTCGGATAGGACACAATAAGGACATCTGTGTCTTGAAACTGAAATTTTAGAGCGAGTTGTAAGGAGTCTTGTGTGTGCAGGTGTCCTGGAAACAAAATACCGTGGAAAATCTCACTGACATCCAACCTGGCCATGTCCTCGTTTAATATCTATGTATGGTGATACACAGGATCCCTTTGCTGTAGCTCCTCTATGTCCTCTCTCTCAGGGAATCTTTGTCTCTTTAAGAAATGAGGATTCTGTAATATTTGCATGAATAAGAGAGCAGAAACTCAGTAGGATCCTCCTCAAAATGGGTGTTTGCCAATAGTTATTTGAATAATAATACTTTCCAAAGAAATGGATTTTATTCCCACAAGAAATGGTATAAATTTAATGATTGATCCTCCCTGATAATGATAATGTTATGATATTGAAAGGGTCAAAGAGGGATGGGAACTGTATGGAAACCTCAGTATCCTTTCTGTTCTTGGAGAAAGTGGGGGTTTTTTGGTTGAAAAATTTGACATTTTCAGCCAATCAAATGTTTTGCATTTTATAGATGAATGAATTGAAGTACTGCATCCAGAGAAATAGATAACAAGGTTTAAAGGTTGGTTGTGACTGTCTGCTGTGAACGGAATCCAGAAAATAAGAGATAAACAAAAATCCTCAGGAATGTTGATGGGAAACATTAAACTGGGAGTTCTGGTTATGATCATTTATTTCACATCATTAAACAAATCAACACAATAAATTTAAATTCCTTTCGTTTTTCAACATTTGCATGTGATAACAACCATCTTATCTTTCCATAAAAGCTTGGCTTGGCTTAACTCAGGCCTTTCAGTGTTATTTTGTCATTATAGTTGTGTTTATGATGTGGGTAAAAAAAAATGTTCCGCTGAGCATTTTTATATCCATGTTATAAAACAGATTTCACAAGATGATGGCACTATGTTAAATTCTAAACTTTATTGCTCACTAACGGAACATTACGGTCTTTACTGAGTGAGAGAAATCCTCAACCTCTGTGGACTGCTTTATCAGGGCTGCTTGGGACTCGGTTTCTGGAGACAGTCTGTTACACTAAGGCTGTTTTTTTCTATATCATATTGAGAAATAATTAAATTAACTCTTATGTATTTTCTATTGCCAAATAGATCAAATCAAAAGAACAGAGGTACGGAACGGAGGTACTAGTCGTTGCGTGTGGGTTTCCTGTAGCCTTCTATGCTGAGTTGTCTCTATCCCATGATGTAATCAATGCAGTCCAGGAAGGCAAGGCTGTCATCTTTCACATCTCCCCGGGTGAAATTGATGTTTCTGTCCACTGCATTGATGTGGTCTGTGAACGTGATGAAATCCTTGGTCTTTATTCTGATCCATTTGTCATCCACGTATCAGAACCAGTGACTGGGGTTTGTTCCCATGTATGAGTGTAGAGCTCTGCTCTCCTCTTTTTCCATGTATAAGTTTGCCAGTATGAGAACCCGTCACGCATCCATGGTTCTCCCTGGAAGCATGGGTGCTTCTAGAAAACTTTATATCCAGTTGCATTAACTGAGTTTGCATGACCATGACCTGGATGATTGAGAATCTGCACAGAAAAAGTGACTGCGCCTCTTATAAACTCTTCTACATGGAAATGATGAGATACCTCAAAAGACAGCAGTCATGAGTGGTGGGGCAAGCACTTAGTGTCCCTTAAACATTTTGTGTAGAGATTCTGCAGCGTGATAGAGCTCTAGTGCAGTAAAACTGAAAGCACTTATGCAAAAAACATTAAGGCCTCTCAGCCCGGTTCTTGGCCCATCTGGTGTTTTTACTACCAAATGCAGCCTCAATTTCTTTGGGCGGGGTTCATGTAAAAAAATAATAAACAAGGTGACTTGTTTTTTTCAGTTAATCTCAGATAGCGGGTTCAAATCAAACCTGTAAAAACAAAACCTGATAAGTTAAATTTGTAAATTTGGATTAATGGATTATTTTATCTTGATTGTCGTCCAAGCTCTGTGCTGTGGTCTCTTCTCATATTACTCTGCCATGATGAGCTCACCTGGATGCATACAATGGAGGATGTGGTGCTGTCAATCTAGGCACTTTAGTGTAAAATTATTTTCTTATTTTGTCCACATTTCTTCAAGTATTTTAGGAACTGTTTTCTTATTTTTTTAATACATTTCTGGAAAATAACACCTAAAAACATGTAATGGCCACTGGAATTGCAAGATAACACTACTGTACTTTCTCCATGAGAATGATTAAGATTATCCAAAGTATCTAAATAGAAGTTGAAAAACTGTTGGAAACCAAATTATACATTAACCAGAGTTAACTGACAAGTCACTCCACAGATGGTAAAAATGGCTAAGCTATTTGTTTTTTCTCTGCGTCTTTATCACAAACCAAGTAACAGTAGAGGAGGGGTGATGAGCTCACATGTAAGGGCTTAGACATATCTGCATAGCGCCAGTTATAAGGATTTCAGACGGTCAACTGAGGGAAGATTTTAATTTTGCTATAAAAAAAAATAGAATCAGAGAATCATTTTAAGAAATGTCACCTAAGTGGAGTTTTGCTTTATGTCTGGTACTCTGGAGCAGCTGCTGGGCCACCAGTCCAACTCAGGACACATTCATGAACAGAGCCAAGGCTCTGATGGCCGGGACACCGCTCATCGATGGGCAAGTTCAAATGTCTTCTATACTGATCCAGGATGCATATTCTGATGTTTACTATCATACTGTAGACACAAAATCAGCGTTTTATTTATATAGATTTCAAAACATCTTACGATGTCCGTAATCTAAAATAAATGCCTTTTTATTATCTTCATGTTGTTGATTTTTTTTTTTTTTCCACTAACCAGTCATAACGACCTGCCTTGGCAGCTACGAAAGCAATTTAATAACCAGCTCAACAAGGTGGATCTTAACACACTGAATACAACCCACACCAACATCCCAAAGGTCAGAGAGGGGCTGCTCGGTGCACAGGTACATCCAAAACAGAACTTTAAACTTTAAAGTGTCTTTTGATTCCTTCACTCCTGCCAACATTTTTTTTTCCACAAAATCTACAAAGGCTCAACAATTTTAATTTTGATTAGGGCTGCACGGTGTGGCAGATGTAGCACTGTCGTACTGGGTTCGATTCCCAGCCCAAAGTCTTACTGCATGGAGTTTGCATGTTCTCCCTGTGCGTTTGTGGGTTCTCTCCGGGTACTTTGTCTCCCTCCTACAGTCCAAAAACATGACTGTTAGGTTAATCGGCTTCTCTAAATTCTCCTTAGGTGCGAGTGTGTGCGTGAATGGTTTAATGTGTCTGTGTTGTCCTCCAACAGACTTCCCACCTGTCAATGGATGGATGGATGGATGGATGGATGGATGGATGGATGGATGGATGGATGGATGGATGGATGGATGGATGGATGGATG